GTGTCCTGCAAATCACCATGAGATTTTGCGTATTAAGGTTTTCTAAAAATGACATTGCCTATGAGGATGGTGTCCTGCAAATTATCGATTTTGATTTGGATTTTCACTTCCTAGGTTTAGTTTTCTTAGAGAGAGTGAGAGAGGGAGAACCTTTGTTGTTTTTTAATTATAAAATATATAAATAATTATTAAATTTAAGAAAAAATAAAAGCAAAATAGAAAATAAATACATAAGGATAAATTTAATTCGGTTTTTCGAAATGACCAAAACCGCATACAAACATGTTTAAAAAGCCCATTAAACCAAAAGATCTCAAAATCCTAAAAAAAAAATACATACCAAAGGAGTATTTTTACAATTTTGTCTACTCTATATATAGAATAATATAATATAATAGACAAAACTAAAAAAATGTCCCGGTGATATGCATTTTTCTAGGTTTAGTCCAACCTCAACTTTTTTGCCTTCGTGGTCCTTTTAAGCTAGTTTCGTTGCGTATGTAGTCCCTCGGTAAACTGAAATGACAGTAATACCATTGGGGAATTTAGTTTTGATTTTTCTGTCATTTTCAAAAATCTAGTGGTTATTTATTTATTTAAATAATTATTTTAATTATTGTAAAAAATAAGGGCCCACCTCTCTTTCTCTGTCTATATATATATATATATATATATATATATATATATATATATATATATATATATATATATATCTTTATCTCTCTCTCTCTCTCTCTCTCACACACACACACACATACACATACAACACATCGGCCAACAAAAAACCCATCACCATCTTCTTCCCCGCTTCACCTGCAACTCAAGCTACACATCACACACTAAAAGTTAAAACACACCCACACACTTGTAAAATCCCAACTCATATTTTATCACATACATCTGGAATTTAAAAAATATACGTACACATGGAGTTTTCAAATTCGATTTTACACATACAACTACATTTTCATCTGAAGATAGAGAAAAGAGTTCAAGAACATATATATTCGATTTCTCGTTGTGTGCCCGATATTCGCCCTTAATGGGAAGCTAAATCCTAAGTCTGTAACGAAAAGCCCTAACGATAAGAGCAGTACCGTTGAGTTAGCTAATTTTGTCATTCCAAATACCGCTCCTCTTCTACCGTCAGCTCTCGTTACCATCATGTTGCATTTTCCTGTTGGAGTTTGTTATTTGATAAGGCTAAAAGATTAACCTATAACAAAATGAGGTGTACCCATTACGAATTTGTTGTTATGATCCCTGTTTTCGATGTAGGTTTGGGTGTGCTTCTCATTCTTGTAACGACCCAAAAATCAAAGATAAAAATTTCATTTTTAATATAGCTAAAACATTGATACCATTTATTATAAATAATTCAAATCATCATTAAGTAAAATATTCATCAGAGTTCATCCCAAAATCATTCATTGTGGAAAGCATAGGTGTGTGCACTGGGATCAATCCAAACCGTTCCTTTCCAAAACGATGATACCTGAAACCATAAACAAATCTGTAAGCACGAAGCTTAGTGAGTTTCCCAGAGCATACCATACACACAAACCACATATAACATATCCTGTTGCTATAGAAGCTACATGTATCACATTTCCTGCTAACTATAAAAGCTACATATAACAGATAAGCCATGCGTACAAAAATCTGTAAGGATGTCATGGGCTACCCCACCTAGTCTTTACCTAGGACTGCCATGGGCTACCCCACATGGTCTTACATCCAATGCCATGGTCTTTACCTAGGACTACCATGGGATACCCCACATGGTCTTACATCCCATGCCATAGGCTACCCCACATGGTCTTTACCTAGGACTGCCATGGGATACCCTACATGGTCTTACATCTAATGCCATGGGCTACCCCACATGGTCTTTACCTAGGACTCCTATGGGCTACCCCACATGGTCTTACATCCAATGCCACGGGCACGCCTCGGGGTCTCCCATGCAAGTATCACAAAGACAACTAGCATACCATACATCATATAATTACTAGCATACCATCTAACATAAAGCTAACTATCATACAGCATAACAAAAAAATGGGTTGGCCTTGCTACCTTAGACTCATTGGTATGGTGAGAAGACTCACCTTGCACTGCAGAAGCTTCTCGCATGAATTCCTTAGCTGCTGCCCGCCAGCTATCCGAGTTGTCACTACCAATCAATATACCCAATTAGCAATTGGGTCCCATACCATAATCCTTAATCCATGCATGGGGTAAAATCACCATTTTACCCTTGGCCTTATATGATCCAAAACTAAGGCCCAAACCCAAGATAAAAGCCCAACATTATAATGTCCATAAAACTATCAATGGCCTAATTTTCCAAATTGGGCCTGGACCTTTCTAATGGACCTTATACTAATGCTCAATATTTTTCTTAGTCAATAATCCTGATCCAATTGGCCTACAAAGGCCCAAAAGAACCTATTCCAAGAATTGGCCTAAACCGAGGCCTACAACTGTGAAGTCCATTTCTATAATGGGCCACAAGGCCAAATAGGCCCAACTATTCCAATATTGGCCCAAGATACATTCAGATCCAACAACCCACAAGTCTAGGCCCAAAACCATTAGGGCCCAAAGGTCCGAAGTTCACTAAGGCCGAAGTCCTCCTGAGAGCGTACGCCCAACATACCTCTTTTGTACGCTAGCGTACTGAGCAAATGGACTGGACACCCAACGTACTACATAGTATGCCTAGCGTACAAATAACTCATGCACAACATCCATTAAGTACTTAATACTTGATCCAACAAGTCAAAATCAGAGATCTGAGCTATACTTAACGTCTAAATCCATAAAGTCACTGACTTGGTGACTTTGCATGCCCTAAACAAACCCAAACTCCAAAAATGGCATTCTACTTCCATAAAAGTGACCCTAACTCAAGCATAAACCCATTAAGACCATCAAGATGGCAACTTTCTGTCTTAGGGACTCAAATAACATCAAGGGTGGAAACCCCAAGCCTAAAACGGATTTGGAACCATAAAGCTCCATTCCTAGGACTAAAAGATCCAAAAACTCAACATAATATATCTAAGCATTCAATGGTCAAGTTCAGAGCTTTATACCTTCATTAAGCTGAAAATGAGTCACAAAAGCCAAATCCATAAGCTTCTTCTTGATCTCCATTTGTGCATCTAACTCCACCTTCTTTAAAATGAGCCAAACACTCGAAAGATGGACTCCATAAGCTCAAAATGCCACCATGAATGGTATAATATGATTTCTAGGGTTTAGAGGGGTGGAGGCTGAAGATATTAGAGTTAGGTTAAGAGATAAGGAGTTTAAATAGGGTCCAAGACCCTAAAATAGGGTTCTGATATGAATGGAGTACGCCCAACGTACTCTAGGGAACATTCACGATCCTCCTAGTCAGTACACCCAATGTATTACCTTCTTTGTTAGTACCCCCCCCCCCCCCGCGTACACTTTGTGTACGCCCCGCGTACTCGGCTAAGCCTGAAAACCACGAAACTTCCGAAGGCCATAACTTCTTCGTTATAAGCCCGATTCCGACGTTCCTTATATCCACGCAAAGGGGACGAGAAGCCCTACACTTCTAACAACTCAAACCACTCTTAAGAGCTTCCGAAAAACATCCATTTTCCACAAAAGCCCAAATTGTCACTTTACTGAAATACCCTTAGGCTCTAAAACACGAACCGAACACTTGGATCACTTCTAATACATCACTTGCACCCAAAAGGGGCTAGATCTTACCTTCCCAATAGCCATAATCCTTATAATGACAGACCTTCAAGCAACCACCTCAGACTAGGGGTCAATTCGGAATAGAGCGTTACAATTCTTTTAATGGATCCATGGAAAAATTAAGAGAAGCACTAGACCCTTGTTTTTTTTTTTTTTTTTTTTTTTTTGGGGGGGGGGGGGGGGATAAAAAAGGCACACAAGACACATGTGGCATTAGAAAGGAGGACATAGAAGGTGAAGTATGAAATAGAAGGTGAAGTATGAAATAGGGGTGACCATGACTGACGGTAATTGAACCCTCACAGGGTCTGATCAAAACCCTTCTCCCCTACCTCCTCAAGTTAAACTCCTTTTTAATTAATGCCTCCTTTGTTTGTTTTTTGTATCTAATCTCTTTTCATCTCGATTCAATGATTTGAAGAGTCTGATGGATGCTTATGGTGGAGGTTGGTGGATTTGTATCTTTGTTGCATGTTTTCTGGTCTAGAAATGGTGAAGAAGACTATGTAGGAAAGAAGACAAAGTGGGGAAGAAGAGGATGAGGAACTAGGTTAGGGAAGAGGAAGATTAGGATGGAGGGTTTGACTTTCTCTGTGTGTGTGTGTGTGTGTGAGAGAGAGAGAGAGAGAGAGAGAGAGAGAGAGAGAGAGAGAAAGAGAGAGAGAGAGAGAGAGAGAGAGAGAGATGAACCCCTCCTTTTTTAATTATTAAAATAAATAAATAACTATTAGATTTTTTAAATAATAAGAACATGAAAAATAAATACTCCAATGATAATAAAGTCATTTCAGTTTACTGAAAAACCAAATATGCAACGAAACTAACTAATACGAAACAGAAACAACCACAACAACAACAATAATAATAATAATAATAATAAATCAAGATTTAAAATAAAACTAAGAAAAAATAAATGCCACAATTATGAGTTTTATAGTTTTGTCATTATAATATAATTTACTAACGTCATAACATTAATTATATTTTCAATAATTAGATTTTGTAGAATGAAAACACATTAAAAGCTCACATTGCTTTCCTTCTACTTCTAGGAACCAATATGGGTGGGGTCCTTACCCATCCTTCTCATTGTCTATTTCTCATAAATACGACCACCCACCACCACCTTCCTCCTCCACCACCACCGGTACAAACCTCCTCTTTCTCCTCGCCCGATTTCATCAAATACCAATGTGTCAGTTAAACAAATCTTGATTTCTGAAGAGGCTTCTACTCTTCTTTAAGAAAGTCTGACCATGTTGAAGCTTTACCTTAATGGCGTCTTCTGGTTTTTGTTATGTCTTAATTATGCTTCCTCTCTCACCTCCGATGGCCTCTCGCTGCTCTCTCTAAAATCCGCAGTTGATGGCGGCGACACGGCCTTTCCCAACTGGAACGACGACGATAGTACCCCGTGTCAGTGGACCGGCGTCACGTGCGCCAACATTTCCGGGGTTTCCGGACCACGTGTTGTTGGTCTTTCACTTGCCGGGAAAAATCTCCGGGGTTACATTCCGTCAGAACTCGGGAATTTGGTGTATCTCCGGCGACTCAATTTACATGGGAACAACTTCTACGGCTCAATTCCAGACCCAATCTTCAATGCAACGTCGCTTCACAGTATATTCCTTTACGATAACAACCTCACCGGTCGTCTACCGTCGTCGATTTGCAATCCACCTCGTCTCCAAAACGTCGATTTATCTCATAATTTACTCTCCGGCACCCTACAGAAGTTTCTAGGTAATTGCCGGCAGTTGCAGCGGCTAGTTCTCGCCGGTAACAAATTATCCGGCGAAATCCCGTCAGGAATCTTCCCGGAGTTAGCGAATTTGGTTCAGCTTGATATCTCTTCAAATTCTCTCAACGGATCAGTACCTTACGATATCGGCCAATTGAAATCGTTGTCGGGAACCCTAAATCTTTCTTTCAACCGATTCACCGGAAAGCTACCAGAATCTTTAGGTGATTTGCCGTTGACCGTAAGTTTTGATCTCCGAGACAATAATTTCACCGGAGAAATACCACAAACAGGTTCTTTCTCGAACCAAGGCCCGACGGCGTTCTTAAACAATCCATCACTTTGCGGATTTCCGTTGCAGAAAACCTGCCGGGATAGTAATTCGGCAACTCCCCCAGGAACCCAGAGTGTTACGCCCACCATCGACGATAATGATTCCAAAAAGGGGTTGAAACCAGGTTTAATTATTCTGATTTCAGTGGCCGATGCATTTGGTGTTGCGTTAATTGGATTAATTATTGTTTATTTATATTGGAGGAAGAAAGATTCAAATGGTTGCAGTTGTACAGGTAAACGTAGATTTGGCGGAAATCAGAAATCCAAATTCTGTTCATTTCCATGTGTAGGTGGATTTCCCAACACAGATTCAGAAATTGAGTCGGAAAAGGGTAGCGGCGTTAGTGTTAGTGGTGGCGGCGGTGGCGGTGGTGGTGGTGGTGGTGAAGGAGGAGAGCTTGTAGCGATTGATAAAGGGTTTAGTTTTGAGTTAGATGAATTGTTGAGAGCTTCTGCTTATGTGTTGGGGAAGAGTGGTCTGGGGATTGTGTATAAAGTGGTGCTCGGAAATGGGATTCCGGTAGCCGTGAGGCGGTTGGGTGAGGGCGGTGAACAGCGGTATAAGGAGTTTGTGGCGGAGGTTCAGGCAATTGGGAGGGTGAAACATCCAAATGTGGTGAAATTAAGAGCTTATTATTGGGCTCCCGATGAAAAGCTGCTGATCAGTGATTTCATTTCTAACGGCAATTTGGCTTCCGCATTACGTGGTATTTCTTCTTTTCTCGTGACTTTTTTAATTTGCAATGGAATCATTAGTCAACACTTTTTTTTATCTTTTTTTCTTTTTTAAATATCATTAAAAATTTAAAGATGACAAATTTAGTACAATAATAAAGTGTTGTTAATTAATCGCCTTAATAGTTAATAGTTAATAACATGTGAACCTTTTAATTCATATTTGAGTTACGTTTAGCATGTTCAACGTTTTAGTTTGTAATATATATATATATATATATATATATATATATATATATATATATATATATATATATATATATATATATACATACATTTGGCTCATTAGTAGTAGAATAAATCGCATACTGAACTAACTTTTGGTAAAATCAAAATATTCATGTTTAGATCTAGATTTTTTTTTGTAGTGATTTGAAAACAATTACAACTCGAGCTTTTGATTGATATAATTGGTTTGATTTTTATTTACATATTTTGCGTATGTCATGTTGATGATATGGATTTTTTAAATACTAAAAATGAACAGGTCAAACATCAACAGTTCTTTCATGGTCAACAAGGTTAAGGATCACGAAAGGTACTGCCAGAGGCTTAGCGTATCTCCATGAATGTAGTCCTCGAAAATTTGTTCATGGAGACATCAAGCCCTCGAATATTCTTCTTGACAATGAGCACCAACCGTATATATCTGATTTCGGTTTGAACAACCTTATTAGCATCACCGGCAACAACCCGTCATCCTCAGGCGGCTTCATGGGTGGGGCCCTTCCATACTTAAAATCAACTCAAACGGAAAAAGTCAACAACTATAGAGCACCCGAAGCCCGAGTGTCAGTCAACCGACCAACACAAAAATGGGATGTTTATTCTTTCGGTGTAGTGGTGCTTGAACTGCTAACTGGAAAGTCGCCTGAGCTTTCGTCTCCCACAACCTCAACTTCAACTGAACTCCCAGATTTAGTGAAGTGGGTAAGGAAGGGTTTTGAAGAGGAAACTCCACTATCTGATATGGTTGATCCGATGTTACTTCAAGAAGTACATGCAAAAAAAGAAGTTCTAACAGTGTTTCACTTAGCCCTTGCGTGTACTGAGCGAGACCCTGATATTCGACCCCGAATGAAAACGGTGTCCGAGAGTCTCGAAAGGATTAGAACATAAGTCAACTAATAATGAGTTGAACTATGTTTTTTTTGATCAAGGATAAATAAGTTCTAGTTAATTGTCATGCTATTATTTGTTGGAATGTAACAGAAAATCATATTTTTGGTGATGGGATGGTTCACATTGGTTGTTGAAAGAATCTTTCATTTTCTATGAAAAGGAAGGTACATTTTATGAAAGGACATTGGTCTTTCTTTAATAGGAAACAAATTCCCTTGTAACAGAAAATTACAAATTTGTTATTAGTTTACCATCTTTTTCTTTTATCTTTTAAACTTCTTGTAATATTAGAATACAAGTGAAATTTGATAAAATTGTTTTAATGATTACGACATGTTATATGTCTACATCCACAACAAATGGATCCATGTTAATGGAAAATAGAAGATTCCATAATAATAAAACCAGTAAACAACAAAATTTTATAACATGTAAACAATAAAACAAAATTGAAAGTCTATTAGTTAAGAACTAAGAAATCTGGACGAAACAACTGTAAAATTTGTTATTCTGTCTTATCACAGTGGATGAGGGTGGGTCACCGATACATCTTGTGTTAGAGTCGATTTTATACTATATTTCACGACTAAATGTGGTCCTCTATTGACAAAGTTCAACCAACTCAGAAAAGTGTACTTCAAAATAAAAATAAAAATAAGGGTAAATTACACGGATGGTCCTTGTGGTTTAGGGTAATTTGTATGTTTGGTCCCTAACAACATTTTTTAACTCGGACCATCCCTACTTTATATTTTTATTGCACGCTTGGTCCCTTGATGACTTGAAATGACCATATTACCCTTTTTGATATCTTTAATCAGTTTTTATCATTATATTAAATTAAAAAAAATTAATGAAAAAAGAACATGATCCCACCATCCCAATACTCATTATCCCAATAGGTTATCACCGACCACCTACAACATCACCAACACCGCCAGTTTCCTCAACCATCACCACTATCACCACTGGCAATTTTCATCGCAAATTTGCAACCCAAAATCCACTCATCGGAAAACCTACTTACCGGAAAACCAATAACCTTCCTCTATATTTGGCATGAATGCTTTCTTGTCCCACCTCCTTTATATCACTTGGAAAACATCCTTGTTCATATTACCAAGAATTCATAAACAAGGAAACAAAAAAAGAAGAAAATCAAAAATCAATGAACATTTTGAGATAATTCCAACAATCACAAACTCATCTTTGCTGAAACCCGAAAAAAATACAAATTGAAAATGAAATCGATTACACAATCTAAGATATTTCAAATAGATTACAACCCCATGGATGATTTAAACCATAAAAACCCTAACATGTTGGGTTTTTCTTGATTTTGTTCACAATGTAATGAAACATAAATGGATTTCGAATTACACAAAAATCAGAAAAACAGCAGATAACAAACCACATACATAACCTTGATTTCAAACATTCGACCTAAAGTAAACCCATACACCTGGTTCGTAACAAAACTGCATCAAATCTTGCTTCACCATACTCGAATCTACTTGATAAAACTTTCCACGACTGTGAATCAGTGATCGGAGATGATGATCGACGAAGAAGATGATGAATCGTTGATAATAGCTTTACACAAATGGATTGGCGATGACGGTGGGAGCTAGTGGCGAGAGCAGCAGATGCTAGGGACGACGACTCTACACTCGTCACGAACGTTGGAGAGAGAAAGCGCCGATGTATTGAAAGGGGAGGGAGAGACGGTGGGGGAGTTAACTGGAGGTGGAGGCATGGTGTGGTAGAAACGTCGGTGAAGAATGTAGGAATGAGAAGTATTAGGTTTAGGTTTCTTTTTATTTTATTTTTGATATAAATAATAAATAAATAAATAAAATTTTAATTAAAAAATAAATGAATAAGGGTATATTAGTCTTTTTAGAACGAACAGGGACCAAGCGTGCAACAAAAATATAAAATAAGGACGATCCGAGTTAAAAATAGTTGTTAGGGACGAAGCACACAGATTACCCTAAACCATAGGGACCATCCGTGTAATTTACCCTAAAAATAATATAATTATTATTGTCTTGTTTCAATGGTTTGTTGTGTTTTTCATCTCCATCACAGTTGAAAAAACTATTGTCCTTTGTTTTTTTTTTCTAATTTTTTTAAGCATGAGGAAATGAGAAAATGATGTCGTATTTGTCCCATTAAAAGTGTTGTCATTAGGCATCAAGTATAATTTACCCCACTGGCCACTGCATAAAAAACTTTGTCATTTAGAGAGTATTGTTGTCACTTTTGTCATCCTACTTTTTTTTTTTTTTTTTTTTTTAAATTAATTTATATAAAATAATGAATTTAAATAAATTAATTTTATAAAAACTGAAATTTCATTAAACTTGAAAGGAAATTACAACAAACCCAAAAAAATACGACATAGAAATTAAAAATACAAATATTTGAAATTGAAATTACGAAACCTAGAAGTTATAATATGGAATATAGATAGACCTAAAAGATATTTTCATTGGAAAAATGGCATTCTAAATCATCGAACGGTTCCGCGTTAAGATCGTTATGGTCAACGGTGCAAATATGTTGTGTCAAACCTCTACGAAGATCATGATGTATCTCAAAATCATGAATTATTCATCTTCTTGCCAACTACTCTTCGCTTCCAACCTCAAATGTTTGTGTCGGTGGAGCGATCTCGTTTTCATTATACTCACATATTGCATTTTCTTTATCTTCGAGAATTATATTATACAATATGATGCAAGTATATGACAACTTTTTTAAGAGAGTCAAATGCTCAGTCAACATCTTTCTTCGCCTTCTCTCGAGCTTTCTTAAACTTCAACATTTTTTTATCATTAGGACAAGACAATGACTTCACAAAACAAGAACACTCTTGATAGATCTCGTCTACAAGATAATACACATACATATATGACGTTCTATGCACATCAAACAAAGAATCTAGTGTAGTCCCGTTATACATGTCGTCAAATAACGGAGACATGTTAAGAATGTTTATGTCATTCAGGGAACCAACAGAGCCAAAGAATGTATGTCATATCCACAAATCATGTAAGGCCACCGCTTCAAGTATGATAGTTAGATAACAATGATCACTGTAATGTCTGTGTTTCTGGGCCTGTCATTAATGATGATATAATAGTCTAGGTTAACCTTTGTTACCCGTTTTAAAATAATAGAAGTGTATTATTTGAGTATTATGTATTTTGTGCTTAATTGCTTAATTATGTGGTTTGATTAATTAAGAATAAAAATAAGCGTCAAAATTTAAGTATAAAATAAACTTGATATCTTTAGATAATGTTGTAGTAGTTGAAACAAGGTTTCCGAGGATATAAAGAATGACGAAATCCGAGTTATAACAAAGAAGTTATGACCTGTCGAAGTTTCGCGACAGAACCGGCAACGCTGAATGACGTAAAAAGTGCAATTTACGTTAGAGCGATATTTAGCCTTAGTGATCTAAATGAGATTCGAAGATCTCGTTGTAAGTATCAAAGCGATAAAAAGTTATGCGAGAACGGACGTCAAACGAAGAAGTTATGAATTTATAACGAAATTTTCTGTCCCGGCCTATTAAAAATAAATAATAAAAATAAAGTAAAAATTAGCCGACGGAGTCTAAATGAAAGTTTTAGAGCGTAGTCTCACCTTCGTGTGGATATAAAGAACGTCGAAAACGGAGTTCGTATGAGAAAGATATGAATTTTCAAAGTTTATTAAATAATTAATAATTAAATTTAATTGTTAAATCTCGGTATTATCCGGAGGCGAGTCACCGGACTCATCCGGAGTACGCCCCGCGTACAGCGAAGAATGTCGACACTCACACTCGAGGACTTCGGATGGCGCATGCGCTTACGTTTCGGAGGCAGTACGCCCCGCGTACTCCAAGGCTCCAGCCTCCTATAAATAGGATGCGAGGCTGCCGAGTTTCTTTGCTATTTTTCTCTCTTCTCTCTCCCGTTTTACCTCGATTTGCGTGCCAGAAGTACCCCGAATCCCCGGTAATATTCCCGAGCCCCGAAGCAAGTTTCGAAGCCCCGAAAATCTAGAGAAGTGCGATTTCCGAGCCGAAGCTCTGTCCGTGAGAAGTTCGATTTTTGTAGAGATCTTCCAGATCTGCTGAGGATTACTACTTCTACAAGCCGTAGTGCTGTCCGATCATCTTCTGATCAAGTGAGTGTGTAGTTAATTTTTCTAACGCATAATTATGAAGTATTTTATACAAAATACGTGTTATGTGTATAATTTTGTTGTTATGTGCGTGAAAGTATATTCACTCTCTTTAATCTCATAGATCTGATTTGTTTTCTATGAAATACGTGTTATGTGGGTATGCCTCATCTGTTATGTGAAATATGTATTGGATGAAAATGCTATACAAGTTTTAAAGTATGTATAAAAATATATATTTTTATCTACTAATATGTTAGGTAGAACATGGGTAGATAGTTGGTGTGTAATAAACAGATGAGAGGTCTCAATGTTGTTGTTGTTGACCTAGTTATTCAGCGGAGTATGGATAACGACCACAGAATCCTTCTAGACAGTCTCATGGAACGCTAGCAAGTTCATAACTTGTAGGTGTTGTGAACGATGTGTTCACCGGTGTACTCTATCCCCCTCATGGTTGCCTTTAGGATATCTATTGTTGAGGAAACCCCTTAGCAGTAATGTCCGTCCCGATGAAAATCCTAGATTTGGTCCCTTGAGATAGATGTTGTTTTAGGGACGTAAAGTGAGGATAACGGGAATGGGTAATCGGGATAGTGATTGGTTGGTGAAATTAAATATAATTTATTTATTGTGGGTTGAAAACCCTATATGCTCACCAGGCTCCCAAGCCTGACCCACTCAGTTTTATTTGTATTACAGGAAGTGGCGCAAGGGCGTAAGATGGATGAACCATCAAGTTTTGTTTACAAGTCTGCATATGTATATATTTGTTGAATGACTTGTAATGTTATCGTTTATGCTTATTGGTCTGTATCGGAACATGACACCCCGAGTTTTGATTATATAATGAAAATACATTTCTTTTATGAAATGCTTTGGTAAAAATTGTTTGATCATGTTTTGTTTTTGGGAACAAATTCCGCAACTCTTTCAAATCAAAAGGATTTACTCTGAAATTATTTTAAAAGCATAAATGAAAATCGGTCTTTTCTGGCCGAGATTTTGGGGATGTCACAGTTGGTATCAGAGCATTAGTTTAAGCGAACTAGGAATTTGTAGGATTTCTAAACTTAAACTTAGAATGCTAAGTGGAGATTGCGAGGTGTGTGTCTGTTAAATTTTAGACACAAGCACTAGTTTATTTTAGGA